GAAAATTTTACTTGGTAAGATTCTTGAAATACTTGATTTGACTCAATTTTTTCTTATTTCAAGAAGTAAAATTTTCTTACTCCATTGGCAGAAATTTTTGACTTAATTTGAGTCAAATTTTCAGACTAACAAGACAAATAATCTCACACATTCTGAAAACAAGATGATTATTCTTACACAATCAGTTCTTGTTCAGTAAATCAGTCTCAAAACAAGATCAAAAAGATTTTTTTTTGGCTGGATATAAGATTTTAAAACTTGGTTAGGTGGACATTTTTTGCAGTGTGTCAATAATGTTTCCATTAAATGTGCCTTTCAACAGGGATCACGTGGGCCTGGGGGACTTCTGGGGGAAGTAGGAAAAGTTGGACCACCTGTGAGTAAAAGACAAGTTTTAACTGCTTACATAATAAATCTCATCCTTAAAAGATGTCAAATATCCTGCAGAACTGTAATCCAACACAAATCATGTCAGCAAGTTTGCAACTGTAATGGCGTAAACTATAATCTGTAGCATCTTAGAAATAAAAATAAAAAAGTGACGCCTGTAATAAACAATAATAATATTGTTTGATAATGTATTTWTGATTTTTTTCACAGGGGTCCATGGGTGTGAGAGGACCACAGGGACCTCGTGGACCAGCCGGCCCTAGAGTCAGTGACCAAATCTTTTTGATAAGACTTTTTTTGGTATTAGATTTTTACAAGAGAAACAGAAAAAGTGAAACAGCTTCATTTTGCAAGAACTAACAGAAAATGATGTACGGTAAAATGTACAGTAGTTACAATGAACTGAAGGTCAAACATCTTCACTATCATTACTTCAAATGTTCAATTCTTTTTAATTTACTTAACGTTTATAACCTATAGTGTAAGGAACATTTGCATAAAGCTAATTGCTAATTCTACTWATGAATTGTTTATTGTTGATGATAATGCCACAAATGACAACTTGCAAAATAAAATTGTCAGCCAGTATTTTTCTCAATTTCAGGGTGCAGCTGGAGCCCTGGGCACTTCTGACCTGGTAAAGTGCTGTTTTATTATTACCCACCGCCGCGACAAGAGGGCGATCTTGTAATCTCCAGTGTCTGTGTGTTTATTTGTCTGTGGTGTTAGCAAAATATCTCATCCACCAAAACCACTGGATCGATAAAAAAAAAAAAACGCTCAGGCTGCCGCAACTAACTGACCTCAAAAAACACAAAAATGACTAAAAGTCAGTCAGTTTGACAGATATTGAACTCAGTTTTGATTTGATGTGCTGGTAGCTAAGTGTTCTTTTTAACACTTTGAGTACTAACAAATTGCACAAGATCTCATAATATCATGTCTGATTGTGCCCATAATTATTTTTAAGATTTGACAAAACTGGCTACAACTGTCATTTTTTTATTTTTTTGCATAAAATTACTTTTTTAAATAAAAGTGTCTGGCTGTATGCATCCCCTCAAAGAATGCTAGATATTTATTACATAGAATCTAAATCAGGGGTTCTCAAACGTTTTGGGTCCGGGGACCCCTTACAAGTGTGAAAATTTTCCAGGGACCCCCTCGTAAACCCCCGTGCTGTTTTAGAAATAGTCGTTTAGTTTCAGGTGAGTGGACAGATGTCGGGTTTGTGGCCTTGTGTTTTCTTGGTGTATATTTAATATATTTCTGAGCTCTATTTCAGTCTTTTTGATTACATTTTCTCTTTCTTTTCCCCCATTTTTCTATTTTCTCTTTACTTTAAAAAAATCTCTGATGATGAAGAAATTAAGAAACTAATATTAAGT